GGCTCATCAGCTCTGTACCTGCCAAAGTGGGTCTGCAGGTAGGACGGAGGTGATAGGTGAACCCTGACACCTGTGTAGGCTTTGTGTGTGTGTGTGTGTTCTCTGAACTATTGAGGCCCTCTTGGGTTTTTCTGTTGAAAGTGGTCTTGTTCCTGTTTATTTCTTTCTGCACTTGACCTCTAGGGTCGAGCGATCGTCCCACCTCAGCCTCCCAAGTAGCTGGGACTATAGGCACATGCCTCCACGCCTGGCTAATTTTTTTTTTTTTTTAAATTTTTTGTAGAGACAGGGTCTTGCTATGTTGCCCAGGCTGGAGTGCATCTGTGAGATCTCTGCTCTCTGCAACCTCTGCCTCCCAGGTTCAAGTGATTCTTCTGCCTCAGCCTCCTTTGTAGGTGGGACTACAGGTGCGCGTGCCACCATGCCCGGCTAATTTTTGTATTTTTAGTAGAGACAGGGTTTCACCATGTTGGTCAGGCTGTTGTCGAACTCCAGACCTCATGATCCGCCCGTCTTGGCCTCCTAAAGTGCTGGGATTACAAGCATGAGCCACCACGCCTGGCCCAATTTTTGTATTTTTAGTAGAGATGGGGTTTCACCGTGTTGGCCAGACAGGTCTTGAACTCATGACCCTCAGGTGATCCACCCACCTCGGCCTCCCAAAGTGCTGCAATTACAGGCATGAACCACCACGCCCGGCCCCTTTTCTTTTTTCTTTTTTTGTTTTTGAGACGAAGTCTCACTCTGTCACTGGTCTTGCTATGTTGCCCAGGCTGGTCCAGAGCTCCTGGCATCAAGCAGTTCTCCTGCCTTAGACTCCAGAGTGCTGGGATTACAGGTGTGAGCCACTGTACCCAGCCCAGTTCCTTCTGCTTATATCCCTTCATACTTCCTGCCTGGAACACCCTCCCCTCTGCATTCCTTGTTTGAATCCTACTAGCTTTCCGAGGCCCACTGGAGGTAGAATGCTGCAGAACCTTCCCAGTAGCCCAGGCATCACCAGCTCCCCTTTTTGATGCCTTGAAGAACATACACTGTCTATTTGGACATTGATTTAATTTTAGCATCTTTTCTTGTGTTCTTAGATGATGTCAGGTATGTAAGTCTGTGAAAGCTACGAAGGTTGTGGGAGGGAGAGACTGCCTGGTTCTTCATTTGTATCCTCCATGGTATGTCATACGTGCTTACACGATGGCTTTGTTGAGGGTTAAGTTGAACTTGCCCTCTCTTGGGTTGCTATGTGCCAAGGAGTGTTTCTTCTTCCTCCCTTTTTTTTTTTTTTTTTTTTTTGCGGGGTGCCAGAGTCTTGCTCTGTCACACAGGTTGGAGTGCAATGGCGCGGTCTTGGCTCACTGCAACCTCTGGCACTGAGGTTCAAGCAGTTCTCCTGCCTCAGCCACTGCTGGCTATTTTTTTTTTTTT